GGAGAGGGTCAGATGGAGCAGAGGAGAGGGTCAGAGGAAGAGAGGAACAGAGGACAGGGTGAGATGGAGGAGAGAAGAGGGTCAGAGGAAGAAGAGGACCAGAGGAGAGGGTCAGAGGAAGCAGAGGAGCAGAAGAGAGGGTCAGATGGAGCAGGTGAGCAGAGGAGAGAGAGTCAGAGGAACAGAGGAGCAGAGGAGTCTGGTGGAGCAGAGGAGAGGATCAGATGGAGGAGAGGAGTTGGTTCAGTTGTATTTTTAGACAGTGAGTGTATCATGCACAGTAAGAGAGCTATAATGAGCACATTAGTTAAACCTGGAGGCAGAGATTAGCCCTGAATGAGTCATTGTCTTAAAGCAACTTCAGCACATCTTCATCTGTGCACTTTAAAATACACTTACACCATGAGAGGCAAGCCACTGCTCTGTTTCACTCCTCTCAAAGAACTCCTCAAATAACTATCCATTACGATTTCACGAGTAGCCTTTTTGTTTATATGAGCTGGTAAATCAGAATGGAATGGAAGATATGTTTAATATGGGATAATGCTCCAGCTAGACTCCTGGCCAAGATCCTGGTTCAGATCTCGCCCACTTCTCCTAACAGGACATTAAAGGTCCTACCTTGTCTACATCTGCATCTTTTTTTGTAGTGTCCAACTCAAAAACATATCTGGAGTTGTGTTTGTTTCATTCACGCACTTTTAAACAACTTTAAAAGATGGGTCAAATGCTGAGAAAATTTTTACACATTAAGTATTTCCAGATGAAGATGTAAGAAGATGGTTTGATCCAGAGGGGAGAGATTGTTAGTCAAAGGATACTTAAAACTAACGCCATTTTCGAATCGAATCAAACCGTTTTATGTAGTTTCCTCATCACAAACAGACCTGGAGTTGTGTTTATTTCATTCACACATTTTTAACACCCAAACTCTGCACATATTGGCTCAGTTCTTCTCTCAAACTCAAACGTTGTGATGTCATGTGGTAATACAGGAAGTGCTTCACTGTGTTTTTAAACTCCACACACCTTCACTAGAATCACTACGATGAATTCAGCCCTAGAATTGCCAATCTCTACTGAACTAAAGGTAAAAGGAGAAGAAGTTAACTTGAAAACTACCACTTCATGACATCACAAGGTGGAACAGACCATTTTGAGCTTTGGAGATGTAGACTAATAATGGCGGCACATAAAGGCAGCAAGAAGGTTCTGGGTTTGATCCCCAGGTCGCCCGGGCCTTTCTGTGTGGAGTTTGCATGTTTCTCCCCGTGTCTGGATGGGTTTCCTCCGGGCGCTCCGGTTTCCCCCATCAACCCAAAACATGCTACAGGTCTCCAAGAACAGCTGATAGTCAAGGTCAGTTAAACACAATCAATCAATGAACCTGTCCAGGGACGACAGGTGGACATTAGCCCTGATGTACGATGCATCTCTCCAGTCTCTCTCTCTAAAACCTTCAAATCAGGCAAGAAATCTCGGGGTAATAATGGACTCAGACTTGAACTTTAACAGCCACACCAAATCAATAACATCTGCAGCCTTTTACCATCTAAAAAACATAGCAAAAATCAAAGGTTTACTGTCTAAATCAGACTTGGAGAAACTTATCCATGCATGTTTGTCTCCAGTAGGTTAGACTACTGTAATGGTTCTGCTCACTGGTCTCTCCAAACGAGCTGTGAGACGCTGCAGAACATCCAGAACATCCAGAACGCTGCAGCTCGGGTCCTGACTCGAACTAGGAAGTACGAGCACATAAGTCCTGTGCTCAGGTCTCTGCACTGGCTCCTGTGCCTCAGAGAATAGACTTTAAAGCAGCTCTGCTTGTGTACAAGTCTCTCCATGGCCGAGCACCAAAGTCCATCTGTGACATGTTAGTGTCATATGAACCATCTCACACTCTGAGGACCTCAGGGACCGGCCTCCTGCTGGTGCCCAGAGTCACGACTAAACAAGGGGAGTCAGCGTTTCAGGTTCATGCAGCTAAAACCTGGAACAGTCTGAACATGTGAGACAGACTCTTCTGTGACGCTGTTTAAATCCAGACTCAAAACATTTCTGTTTAACTGTGCAAATAACTGAAAGCTTTTCATTCTGCACTCTTCTCTCCAATCTATGTCTCTCTTTTTTAATTTTAATCTTTATGATTATTTATGTTTTGATTTGTTTTTATTATGATTTTAATGTATTTCTTATTCTGTAAAGCACTTTGGATTTGTGTATGAATTGTGCTGTACAAATAAACTTGCCTTGCCTCTCCTGTTAAGGTAAATGCAAAAATTGTGTGTTGTCCCTGTCTCAAATAAATAAAGGGTTACTCAAACGTGTGAATGAAACAAACCACAACTCCAGGTCTGTTTTTTGATTGAGGAAACAAGATTATAACATGATTTAGGTCACCCAAATTGGATTTTTTGGCCCCTATGCTCATGTATCTGATCTTTTAATGACAGTCTGAACCACACAGATCCGATTTTTGCAAATGTGACCCAGACCACTTGGATATGTGCTCCTAAAACCCATACATGTCAGATCTTTTGACATGCGACTTCAGTCTGAACAGTCAGGTCACCTACACGTCACAAATGTACACTAACGTTCTTCTCGTCATACGAAAATTGTGTATGAACTCCGTGTCAGTGAAGCAGTGAGCGCATATCAGTCGCTCCACTTTTGGCTGCAACTCTGCACCCACGTGTTCCTTTCTACAGGTGTTGCTGCCACTGCCCCAACAAAATGCCTTGACCAAAAACCTCGTTCTTCTCCTTCTCAGTCTCCTCCTTAAAACAAATAAGATGTACATATTCTGGCTCCAGTACGACAGCAACTTTAAAACAGCACAACAACTTTTCGGGTGTTTAAAGTTCACACTGGAGATCACATACAAGTGCATTTAATTGGAGATGTTGAACGACCTCGCAAAAAAATCAGATTTCACAAAAAAATCCAAATTGAGCATTAAGCCCTGCAGTCTGAACATAGCCTTAGAGCGCAAAGAAATCAGTTTTGTGTAATATAGGAGCTTAAAAACATAAACAGATTGTATTGGAATAACAAGCTCCCACAGATCTTCTTCGTCTCTTTAGTTGTTGCAGTGACCTTTTCCGAGTCATTGTGTGACTCTGATCAAACCTGACATGCATTAGCTTTGTGAAGAGCAGCTCGTGTGAGTGAGAAAGAGAGACACAATGCTCAACACTGCTACAGCTGCACAAAGTACTACTAGGGTACTGCTAAGACTACAAGATTAATCACAATCAAATCCAAATCTCAATTAGAAAATCATAAAGGTTCCAATTTCACAAACAACAAAATCTCCTGTGATTCTGATGTTAGTTTGTCAGTTCATTTCTTCTGGACATGTTTAAAATGTGAACTTTGAACAGAATCTTATTATTGAAATCACAAATCTAATCGCGATGTCTTGTCCTTCTTCTGTTCTAATACAGGAAGTGCTCAACTGTGTTTTTAAACTCCATAAACCTTCACTAGAATTACCTGGATGTTTTCTGTTCTTGACTTGCCAATCTCCACTGAACAAAAGGTAAAATGTTGCTGTTAACTTGAAAACTACCACTTTATGACATCACAAAGTGTAACAGAGCATTTTAACCTAAACTAAATGTTTTAAAGGTTAAATGAAATGGATGTGGCTGTAGAAAATGTATCAGTGTTTATTTCTATCCAACCCTTTTTCACGCTCCACGTCCCTATTGACAAAATGTTTTAAAGGTGCCTTGTGTAACTTTTCTGTTGGAGGGTCCATCAAATACTTTTCTCCAGGGAGATGTTAGTGCTTTGTCTGGAATGTTCCACAGTATGACATTAAACAGCTCTACTTTATTCAATTGCAGGTGGTTTTGTAGTTCAAAAATACCTAGAAAAACAGACATTCTGACTGTGAGCGGGGTCGCCTCTCCACAGATTTAATAATAACAATAATGCATCAGTTTTATATAACGCTTTTTTGGACATTCAAAGACGCTTTACAGAGCATTATTCATTCACTCCATACCCGGTGGTGGTAAGCTACTACTGTAGCCACAGCTGCCCTGGGGCAGACTGTAACTTCATCTGCTTTGGTCTCCAAAGGTTTAATGACCTACTGTGAAACATTCCAGACAAAGCCATAACATTTCCATAGAGAAATGCATTTGACGGACCCTCCACCAGAAAAGCAAAACAATGCACCTTTAAAGCAATCTTTACTTCTACAAATAGTGGGGGAAAAAAACACAAATTAATATTTGTCATTTTAAAGAATTGTGGACTGAATTTCTAGTTATAAAAAGGTTTTTTTTTTTTTTTTTTGCAAGGTAACGCTGCCATCTAGTGGAACCACAAAGAGTCAAAAAAAAAAAAGGGTACCCTCTTTTTCACTGATAATTCAAAACTTTTCCATGAGTTTATGGCCTAAAGTGAATTTTCCGTGACTTTATGACATGTTAACCCTTGCCTTATGGTTTGGGATTATAGTTTTTGAACATTCAAAATACTGTCAGTGCTTTTATTGTCGTTTAAACAAATGGTGCAGACCTTTGGAAATAATCATAATATTCTAATGATAACTTACCAGAACGCTGTAATTGTGTGAAAGAAATACTAAAATTCCATGACTTTTACAAAACTTCCATTGAATTTACAAAATTCCATGACTTTTCCAGGCCTGGAAAATTACATTTTCAATTTCCATGACTTTTCCAGGATTTCCATGACTGTGGGATCCCTGTAAAGTGTTTTTAGTCAAGGAGGCTTATTGCTTATTTACTCCAAACAATGATAGTGTCTGGGGATGCTGATTTTATCAATACAAAACGTCAGCTAACAAACATTTTACATTATTTATTATAATCTGTGAAATACATGTACTATTTTATTTTCAGTAGAAGAAAAAAATGTACTTCATAAATAAATATAAAATAATAATAAAAGGCTACATTTACTTTGACATAAAATATATAAAATATACATACAGTAGAATGCAATACAGACCCATATTCATTTTCCATTCTGTTTATTTACAAAACCATTTGAGTAACTTCCTCACATACATTTCGAGTATTTTCCATTTTACATTTGATCAGTGTTATGGACTGACCCATGCTCCAACCAATGCCCTTTAAAATAACCCAGTTCCATTATTCAAAAGGTCACTGAACACAACCAAGGCTCTGATACAACTGCATTTGGAGATATCTTGTATTGTTGATTAAAATTGCAATAAATAAAGATGCTATTTAAATAAACTCTTCTGGAATGGCTTGACAGGTTATGATGTCAAATGTAAAATGTACAGTGAAAATATGAAGGTGTCATCGTCTAATGTCTTTATCCATAAGGTCTTTCGCTTCGTTGATTTTAGCGGCGATGTACGGCGATCCACCTGAGACAGAAAACACAGGTCTACATCAGCTACTACAAGAATTTAGACATTTTATAAAGGGTCAAATGAACACGATATAATGAAACAACAAAATTATATATTCAATCTTTGCCTACTTTTTTATAGTTTAAGTTATAGATGCACTATATAACTTTTTGGTTGGGGGACCGTCACCTGCTTGTTTCAATGGATATGTCATTGATCCGCATGGAATTTTCCACAGTATGACATTAAACAGCTCTACTTTACATTTATTCAATTACAGGCATTTTTATAGCTCAAAAATGTTTAGAAAAACAGGCATTCTGACTGAGTGGGGACGCCTCTCCGCAGATCTGTAACCTGGTCTGGTTTGGTCTCCATGAAGATAGAAATGTTTAATGTCATACTGTGAAACATTTCAGACGAAGCAATAACATCTCTATGGAGAAAAGCAACTGATGGAAACTCCACCAGAAAAGCTACACAATGCACCTTCAGTAAAGTTATTAGTTATGTTACGCTGGTATTATTAATTATTTACATACTAATAAGGCAGGAGCGTCTACTAATTGTAGACACTCGTGCTCTGGGAGAAACTAAAAAAGGTAATTTAAGTCCAAATTTAAACTAAAATAAAAGTAAAAATACTTCAAAATCTCCAAATTGTCTCTATTATGCACAGCTAATTTACCAAGCATTTGAATTAGTGTTTCGTTTCTGTGTTGGTATCTAGCCAAATAAAGTATGAATTATTATTACTACTTAGTAGTAGTGGTCATTTTATTGCAGATGTTAGCTTTACTCAGCTTTTGCAAATGAATCCTAGTAAACTGTGAATTGTCTAAAAAGAACAACAATCCAATCCACTTTAGTTCTATAGCACTTTTCACAAACAGTTTCCAAAGTGCTGCACCACTACATAATAATAACAATAATAATAAAATGATAAAATAAACTACTAAAATAATCATACTAGTCTTAAAATAATAAAACCTGTAAAATAAAATAAGAGCAAAATCATAGAATAGCAATAAATAAATAAAACCAATAAAAATACATTAAAAATAAAAAAAAATAAAAGTGGGTTTAAGACGAGACTTAAAACTCTCCACTGTGGGGGCTGTTCGGACATGGAGGGGCAGAGCGTTTCAGCGTTCCACTTGATGAAATAAAAGCGTGCATAACTTGTTCAAAAAGTTTAAAAGATTAAAAAGGTTTGACTTTAGATAAAAGCCGCAAATGATAAAAACTTGACTTTACAATGCCATTGATCTGCTTGTCAAACTTAAAATCCTGTCTAAGGTGACGCCAAAGTTGGTGACTGTGGGACAAACATAATTTTTGAGGTTTCCCACATCAATGAGGGCACTACTGGACCCAAACAGTATCACCTCAGTCTTTTCTTCGTTCAGTTTAAAAAAGTTTTGGGCCAACCAAGCCTTGACGTCAGATAGACAGTTGAACAGGGGTGTGAGGAGCAGTGATCCTTTTTTCCAATTGGCAAGTAAAATCTGGCAATCATCTGCATAAAAATGGCAAGACAGGCAATGTCTTTTAAAATTTTCTCCAAGACAACAACACAACAAAACACCTAGTATCCTTTAGTGAGTGTAAATAAATGAGCCCTGTACCTTTGTCTGGGTGGTTGAGGACCATGACTTTGCGATGTGCCTCTCGGACTTTGGCCTTGGTGCTGGTCGGGCTGCAGAAAAATAAACCCACATCTCATATATATTTTAAACAGTTTACACGGTTAGAATACAGAGTTATTATTACTGTGTGTTTTACCTGATGCCGAGAATCAGACTGGCCTCTCGTTTGGTCATCTTCTGCTCAAATCCACCTTTGTAATACGGAGAGAAAGCCTGAGGAGTAATTAACATAAAGAATAAAAATAAGACTCTGTTTAATTTATAACTAGTTACTTTCGCACAATGACAGCAATTTTCACAATACAATACATTTTTGTTATGTTGAGCTACAAGAATCAAAGTTTATTGTCTTTTTCTTTGTAAAACTGAGTGTCCAAGTGGAAAAATCTGGCAAAAAAAATTAATTATATAAATAACAAAATAAAACCTAAATGTAAAGTGCTTTTAAGGCTGTTTATGTCACATTAACTTTACATTATCCTTCTGAAAGTTACGAAAGCTGGTCACGAAGTATGTGTATTGAATATTGTAAAAATGGGACATTTCTTCTGACAAAATGGCACTCAAATTTTGACTTGTTCAGTTTACAGTACATTTCTATACAGTCTAAATAGTACTCACAAGAGACGGCATTTTCTTGACACTCTGAGAAAACACCTGCCCCAGGGGTTTCCACAGCTGGAAGGCATAGCGCCCTGTGGAGCAGAAACAACACATGAAAAACAAAATTAAGTGTTCATTACTCTTTCCTTGCTTCTTTCTCCTTGATTCCTCTCCTTAATCCTGCAGAAAATGGATGAAGAGAGAGAAGCAGAGGAGAAGGGAGCAGAGGAGCAGAGGAGAGAGGAGCAGAGAAGAGAGGAATAGAGAGGAGTAGAGGAGCAGAGGAGTAGAGGAGCAGAGGAGTGAGGAGCAGAGGCAGGAGGAGACACAAGCTGAGGGTGAATGGGACAAACCTTCCTAGTTCCTTAGTTTTAATGTCAAATTCAGGATTATTTTACATGTTGAGCATCCCTTGCTGCTGTCCCTGTACTTAAGATGTTGCAACAATACAAACAAACTGAGACAAATGTTTCCTATGTGGCTTCCATCCGTTGCCTCCTCTGAGCTTTGGGATACCACTTAATTATGATGTATTTGATTGACAGTTGAAAAATGAAGGGTCGAGGAAAGAAATCAAGGAAAAGGACACGAGGAAAGAGAGCTGAGATGTGTCCAAGGGGAAAATAAAATACCAGCAAATCCAGCGGCAGCTACACCAAGACCGACGGCGATCAGAGTGCCCCCCTGTGGAAACAAAAACACAATCAGTAGAATTGTACAGTGACTAATGGTTCTCTGCTTTCTCAAGATATTTTTGAATAGTAAAAACAACTTGAATTAAAATAATCCAATATAGATATCATGAACTGTGGAACATTCCAAACAAAGCTATACCTTTTTTTCTCATTCTTATCACCATCTCTGAGTTGGGGGAACCAATTAAGCGGACTTTTTATAAATTTACTTTGCACAAGTTTAACAGGGTTGACAATATTGGTAAAAACGGGTTTATTTATGCATTTATCTGTATATCTGGCCTTGAATGAGTCTGATGCAAGTGTCATGCTGCCACTGCTGTTACCTAACCTTGATCTCACTAACTCGGCTAAACAGGCGAAGAAGGTTCATTAAAAACACATATTTCAGTAAAGACGCTACTCACCAGTCTTCTGTCTATTTCTGCATCACTTCTGGGGGCTGTTTTGGGACCATATTCCGCGTATCGCATCAGATCCCCTCCATCTGCGGTCACTCCGGAGTTCGCCATGTTGCTTCTGTAAAGTCAAGGCACAGGAAGTCTCTACAGACCAGCTTCCGGTTTCAAAATGTAAACATCCGGTAAGAAAATATCAATGAATTCTCAAAATAAAATTAAATGATAAAAAGTCAAAAGTTTTCAGGGCTGTTAATACAAACAATGTACACAATTCCCATAATATAAATAACAATTACACAAAAAATAATAATAATAATAATTTCCAAAATAGCCTGTACGCCAATAGAGGCTTTGCACCGTCACGTAGTTACCGTTGCTATGGGGTCACGTGATGGTGCAAAGCCTTTATTACGTCATTAAGCTAATGACGTAAGAGTGTAAGCCTCGCCCACGTATACATTTGGGAACAGTCGCAGTCTCAGCATTCGCGCCTAAACTTTTGGAGAGGAAAGCCACGTACAGTTTGCTCCGCGCAAAACTAATCTCACTATATAACGCTTGAATTCGCTTCTCGGAAAGCAGAAGCATTTCTACATTTATACTTGAAGTTGTAGTCAGTGAGTTACAGAAATGGATTTGGACATGGATTTCGACCTTGTCGCTGTGTTGACGACGCTATTAGCTTCAGGTAATTAGCTTGTCTTACTGTAGTATAAACTAGTTTTTTACTTTTTCCACTCATCACCAAAATCTATCAAGACAAAAGCAACAAAGAAATATCTTTCAAAATTGAAAATATTTTCATTTTATTTGAGACTAGCAAACGGATCAGTTAGCCTCTTTTAGTGTTGCTATAGATTCTTCCCATGTTTCCCGGGGCCTTCTGATTGGAGTTTGCATGTTCTCCCCTTGTCTGGGTGCGGGTCTCCTCCAGGCACTCCAGTTTCCCCTATCAAAAAAAAAAAAAAAAAAAAAAAACATGCACCAGGGACTTCAGGTGGAAATTAGCTTTAGTGCTACAATATATTTTGCACTGTCCCTGTATCTTAAATCAAATAAATACATAAATAAAATAAACCAAAATAAATGATACTCTAAACCTTAACCTAAAAAAAATACAGATGATAGTATTTCACCATGAACTCACAAGTCATGTCATGTTGCACTGAGGCCTTGACCTAAACATTGAACAATGCTGAATATGTGAAACAAATAATGGCATTAATTTTGCAAAACATATAAATTTCAGTTTTCCCCATCCTGAAGCACTGATGCTAATTTGGCATATTCTGTTTATTCTCAGGTGACTGGATGGAAGCGTTCCCAGTGCAGTTGTTTGGGCACTTTCAACCTAATCCCCCAGCACAGCCACCAGCGCAGCCACCAGCGCAGCCACCAGCGCAGCCACCAGCGCAGCCACCAGCAGAGCCCCCAATGGAGCTAGGTATGGTTTATTCTCAGTTCTACGAATCTGAAAAAAAAAACTGGCTCCAATAAAATGGCTAACCAGTTAACTGTGTAAGCCCTGCCCACTCTTCGATGTTCTAAACTGGACAACTGACGTACTTGTCTGTGTCTTGGCAACTGACATGTCAGTAGTCTAGTTCCACTATGGTTCCAGCACAGTCCAGTGTCAGCCCATTTCGTCCTTGCGACTCGTAGAAACAGGTCACTCGCTCTGCGCAAACGTCAGATACTCTTAGAGGCTCGTTCAAATCTTCAAATCACTTGTCGAAAAGCACAGCAGAAGCATTTCTGGCTGACATTTTTGTGAGTTTATAAATAGAGCCCGACCGATATGGATTTTGCTGTGGCTGATATGAAACCGATATAATGGGAGTTGGAGCTGCCGATATATTTAGTGATGTAAAAATTCACTGTAAATGTTGAATTGTTTAAAAAACTTAGGTTTGGCTCTGGTGGATTGTAAATTGGGTTTATTTAGGCAACATTTATTGTTATTCTGCCTCTTTACATCATATTTACAGACAGTAGGTTGGCTTAATGGAATTTTTGCATCACATTCTAGACACTAGTGATGGGTATTCCAGTTCTTTTTAGAGAACCGGCTCTTTTGGCTCGGCTCACTAAAAGCTGCTGGTTCTTTTGGCTCCCAAGTGGCTCTTCAGATTGTTTTGTTGCAAGCAGGACTAAAGCACGTCTAAAGCAGGACTGAACCAGGTCTAAACCAGGACTGAAAAAGGACTATACCGGGACTTATTTATTTTATGCTAAACTACAGCCAAATGTGCTCTTTTTTTTTTTTTTTTTTTATCCTATGTACACACACATTTCTCAAAGTTTCGTTTTCAGCCGCTGCCGCTGTCAAACTATCACGAGTCTGCACGCGGCGTGAAGAGGAAAAAAGTGAGAGAAAGAGAAAACACGGCTCCCAATAAGGATCAGGCTCCTGTCGTTCCCTTCAAAGAGCCGGATCTAAGAGCCATTTCGTTCGCGACGGACCCATAACTAGTAAAGAAAGTAGCGCCATTAGCCTTTAGCCGTAAATACGTGCGCGCCGCGGTAATTCATTATATGCATAAATGTCATAATTCACACGTCTATTCACAGCTCATTTACATATCAATGCAGGTCCAGTAACAAATATACGGCCAATACAGTCACTTTACAATAGGCCAATAGAAAACAGCCTGTTTATGTGAGAGAGCTACAGCAGCTAACCCATAACTAGCTTCAAAGTCGACATATTTCCAACACTCACCGCTCTCACAGGCTCCTCCTCACATCAAAAGTCTGCACTAATAAATGTCCTTTTAATTCAGACTCAAACCGATTGTTATGGAGTAAGAAAGCTGTCAAAAATATTCGTGCGCATAAAATAGAAATCCGTGCGTATTTGGGAAATCCGTGCATATTTGGCTGTAGTTGCGCATAAAATAAATATTTGTAAACTCTCAAATGAGTCCAGTCGTACATAAAATATATTGTGTGTATTTTATCCATCAGAATACGAATTGAAAAATTACGACGTCATGAATTACAATCACGAAATGAAAATTTACGATTACGCTTTCATTAGTACAAATACGAATTCACAGACGGAACTTTACTGTCAAAAATACGTCATCATTTCACACACATTATTCATCGAGCAGAAGAAACATCGATCAAGATCAAGACTGTGCAGCTCAAGTTTGTAGCAGAGGGTAAAAACAGAGTAATAGCACAAGAAGCTACAACAGCGACCAACAAGTGGGTTAATTAAAATCTATTGTAAAAATGTCTTGAATTCGGGAACCGAACGCTGCTGTATAATATTGTGTAGAAACACCTCCTTTGAACGGGAAATTGCACCTATATGTTAGATAACATAGCGGTAGCCAGTTGGCTAACATCCGACGTAACGTTATCCCAGGTCTAATTAGCAAATATCAGGTTCTCTGTAGGTTTAGATTAAAACATTCACGACTACAGCCACAGCGAGCATCAGTCAGTCTTAACCTTCATCTCAGCTGCATTTCAGACAATGGGTTTTTCATGAGTTATAATGGGTTATAATGAGCAAATCCATGCACGTCACGGTGACGTTAAACTTACCGGTAAATACTGTATATATACCAAGGTGTTGCCTGTAAATAAGAACATTAATTGATGCTGGAAGCTGCATTAAACTGTAATGTGTAACATTTCATTAGCTGTGACGTCTGTAACCAGGACAGGACCGAGGAACTTTCGGTGGCATTTCATGCGAGAAATGCAGCTGAAGTGAAGACTGACTGATGCTCGCTGTGGCTGTAGTCGTGAATGTTTTAATCTAAACCTACAGAGAACCTGATATTTGCTAATTAGACCTGGGATAACGTTACGTCGGATGTTAGCCAACTGGCTACCGCTATGTTATCTAACATATAGGTGCAATTTCCCGTTCAGAGGAGGTGTTTCTACACAATATTATACAGCAGCGTTCGGTTCCCGAATTCAAGACATTTTTACAATAGATTTTAATTAACCCACTTGTTGGTCGCTGTTGTAGCTTCTTGTGCTATTACTCTGTTTTTACCCTCTGCTACAAACTTGAGCTGCACAGTCTTGATCTTGATCGATGTTTCTTCTGCTCGATGAATAATGTCTGTGAAATGATGACGTATTTTTGACAGTAAAGTTCCGTCTGTGACGTCGTAATTTTTCAATTCGTATTCTGATGGATAAAATACACACAATATATTTTATGTACGACTGGACTCATTTAAGAGTTTACAAATATTTATTTTATGCGCAACTACAGCCAAATATGCACGGATTTCCCAAATACGCACGGATTTCTATTTTATGCGCACGAATATTTTTGACAGCTTTCTTACTCCATAGATTGTCCGTAAAAAGAATATAATCTCAACGTTTGGATCCGTGTCTGCGGGTGTAAACAAACACACGTGAGTGACGCGACTCTGTGGCGTGTTCAGGGACAATACAGACACACACACACAGACAAATGACTCCGTAGATAAATACTGATGCGGAGCCACATATTTGGACATTTATCTGTCTGTAAATTGGATTAAATGAACATAATGTAGAGAGTCTAAGATTTTTAACGACATATCACATGCCCACGTGAAATATCGGCCCCTATCAGCAAGCATATCAGCCGATAGCCGATATGCCTCCAGGTGCCCATATTGACCGATATATCGGTCGGGCTCTATTTATAAAGTTATAGTAGAAACTGAAAGAATAAGCAATTTGTTCAAACTGATTACAATGGATTGTGTGTGATATCGTCAATAAAATCCATGCAAGGGATTGATTGTAAATTACAGATAATAGCTGTTTACATGAAGTCACTCGTCATGTTATGTTGCGCTGGGGCCTTGACCTAAACATTGAACAATGTTGAATGTGTGAAAGAAATACATTTTACAAAAAACAGATCCATTCCATTTTTCCCCATCCTGACTGTAGCAGTGATACTAATTTTGCATTGTATTTCTGTAGTTCTCGACCACTTAGTTCCTGAATGGCTGCAGTTGCTGGAGGAGGAATGGCATCGTCATTCTGATAGCGAAGATGAGGCTGATGAAGCTCCGGCTGACGATCATGGTGAAGGACCAGCGGAGCCCCTCACAGCACAATGTTCGGTTAATTCCCAATTCTACAAATCTGAATACAGCTTAAAACTGTAGAAAGTGTCCACAACC